GGGTCCTCCGGAGGACCCGGTCTGTCGTTTTGGACACAGCCCAAGTCTGCATCCAGTGCAGACTTGAGCAGCAGGTGCAGCACCAAATAGTGGTCGGTATGGAGCACGGGACGTATAAATATAAGTTCCACATATGTTTTGTACACATATTTACTAAGTAAACACCTCACCAACAAATATAATTTCACGTAAATCATGTTTAATTCAATTCAAACTTTATTAAAGACACAGAACCCTGGTCTATGTTTAAAAAAGAAGAAAGGGAACATTTAAAAAATAAAGAAAAAATAAATTCTTTAAAAAAATGTTAACTGTACTAATATTTTGACAAGTTATCACACTGTTTGTTACAAATACAGTCATATCTGAAAACTCTCTACAATGTGGGCCTGATTAAATATTTTCTATGGTTTTATTTTAAAAAGTGTTTGTTCTCCAGCATTCAGTCACTGCCAGAGCTTGGACTGTTACCATGGTGACGACAGCTTCCTGTTCTGGTGGTGTGAGGAGAGCTCATCTCAAAAGAGGAGGGTGTATAATTAGACCTCGCAGCGCCATCAAGGGGACTCAGTTCAGCTGTGAGGGGGCTTCACAGCGAGTGTAGTTTGTAGGGAGTAGGGCGAGTGTGTAGCCACTGATTGGGAAAGGGCCAGAGAGTCGGGGGGTTTTCCCCTCTTTGAGTGCAGCAGCGCATTCAGCACAAACAAACAAGCCAATTAGTTTTTCACGGTTTGACTATCTTATAAAACTCTGCTTTCTAGTCTGGGAGCGAGTCGTTCTTTTTTCTTTTTTCCCCCCAGAGCGCAGCACAAACAAACACGCCCACGACCAATCAGACCAATCACACATTACCGTCGACACGGGAGGGGGGTCAAAAAGTTCTGCCGGCGGGTTGTGCCAAAAGGGGCTGTCTTTTTTTAAASCTTTATTGAAACTTTTAACGTGATACAAAATACAACAATACAGCCAGGGGGAATGAACATCTATAAGTGAAAAAGAAAAAGGAGGAAAGACATATAGATATACACAAGTGTAATAATACAAATAGAAATAAACTTAAACAATAGATAAAATGATTAAATCACAAAAAAGAACCAATCAATATAAAAATAAATCAGGAATTCCAAAAAGTGAACAAGAATCTGTAATTTTTTTGCCTTCTGATTAGTAGAAAAGTGAATTGAGTGGATATATTTTGTAAATTCGATAATGAAGGAGATGAAATTTGTTTTTTTCTTTAAACATTTGCTTTTATGTAAATGAAATTTGGCCTGAATGATTAAAAGATTAATAACAAATTCCTTTGAAGTCAATTTTGTATTTTGTTGAAARCCTAAAGGGGCTGTCGACACGACGCTGAGAAGCCCGGTGACGTAATTTTCGTCATTAAACGGCGACAACCCGTGMCGACGTCAGCAGTTCACAGCGAGTATGTTTCAGACTTTAGTTTGTGAAAMACAGCAGCAGCTGCTGAGGAGGTGTTGTTCAGAACTGAGGATTACGAGCTGCAGCCAAAGTCCACGGAAACAACAACAGTGCTCGTGACTCATAACAGATTTAAACCACATGCTGCTTGTGCAATATGACTATAACTGTCATAGAATAAGACTTGCTATAATAACATGATGTCTCAGAGTCTCTAACTGCACAGTTAGAAAACAAAGTTTATTTTTTGTGTTTTTAAATATCTCTATGGTTTAGTTTAGTTTAGTTTATTTGCACAGTAAAAATACATCAATTCAAAGAAAAAAAAGATGATGACAGTGCTGGAAGAGGCAAAAAGCCCTGTAGGCTTATATAAAGCCTCCACCAAAAACAAAATACATTGAACCAACAATAAAATCATTAAATCAATTATTTAAATCACTTATTAGATTATCAAAATAAGAATAAAATCATCATCATTTAATCCTAATTTCTGCTTCCTTTCAGCTCATGGTGTCTCAGCTGCTGCACAACTGGGGACCAGACGGTTTCCTCCAGCACATAGACAGGTACCAGCCTCCCTGCACAGACCGTTTGTTTGGGACAGGACTGAGTTCAGTTATCATGATGCCTGCAGCGTTTGTTTCCTCTCTCCTCACAGCGTGATCGAGTTTTACAGGAAGCAGCGCGACGCCATGGTTTGTTCTGCAGACAAGTGGCTCAAAGGTTAGTGAGCTGACAGAAAACCCATTTTTTCCTTCCGGGTCGGGGGCGGGGGCGGGGAGGCAGYCTGGACAAGTTCATCACAAATTTTGTTTTGTTTTGTTGTATGCAACACAATAGCTACGTTTACATGGACATAAGTAATCAGACTAAACGGCCATTCGGAATAAAAATGCGTCATGTAAACAGCCCGTTCGGATTATTCTGACCCGATTCAGCTCGATCCGAATGAATTTGTAATCTGAATGAGAGAGGTGGTTTATGCCGATTGATAATCGGAATGACGTGCATGTAAACACTTAATCTGATCATTTTATGATCATATTTATCGGCCAATCTCCCAAAATCAAAGAAAATCTGTGACTGTGAAGCTGAGTTACTCATCACCGAGTTAAACAAAGATAAAAGCTCAACGTGATCAAATAAAAAAACACACTGATCCCTTAACTGTCACTTTCTGACACTTTGTTGTTTATGATTGTTTTGATGAACACGTGACGCCCGTGTGCAGATATTTAATTAAAAACACACAAATCTGCTCTATATAACAACAGGGAGGAACCAGATGGTGTCACAGTCTCTGCTGGGTTTATGTAAGATTCTGAGAAAGTTTAACAGAAAACAGCTCGAAGCTGAAATATGACCCTAAACTTTACTTCCATATTTTCTCAGCAATTCTTTGGTATCAATGCTATCTACGAGACACTGGTTACATCATAATAACAAAAAACACAACCCTCTCTTAGTTATTGAACTTAAAACAGGGATGGGCAACTTTAAAAAATGGTGGAAGTGGGGACAAATTTTCATTGACACTCCCAGAGGGTCACACAGCACTGCAAACTTATCAACACAACCCTTAAAGGTGGGACGCTGTGCAAAACATAAATTAAAACAGAATATTATGATTTGCAAATCCTTTACAATCTATATTTTAAATTGAATTCACTACAAGATATTCAATGTTCAAACAGATAAAATTTGTTGTTTTTGCAAATTTTTGCTCATTATGAATTTGATGCCTGCAACACGTTCCAATAAAGCTGGGACAGGAGCAACAAAAGACTGGGGAAAATATCTGAACTATGTCTTTATTATCTTTCTAGGTTTGACATTTGGTTCGATCAGGATCTTATGCTGGCAGCTTGGGTTGGTTCTAACTGTTRTTAATAATTTAACATAAGCTCTATTTTAGCTCATCACTGATAACACTTTACTCCAGGCTTTAAAGGGATCCATGGTTAGTTGTAACATTAGACTTTATTTGATAAACATATATTTTAACTGTAAAATAAAGACTGTAAAAATACTGTAGGCTGTTCAGTTTTCATAATTTTTAAACTACATTTTTAAAATATATTACATGGACGGAGCGTGGACAGAGAGGAGAAGGTAGAAATGACTCAGTCTGTAACTGAAAATATGGATGGAGGACAACAGAGCTGCTTCATGGAAGAAGAACCTCAGCTTAGCCTGTTAGCTTTAGCGCCAATGCTACATTGCCTTATATGTATTAGCTCAGTGCTAGCACAGCAAACAAGCTAAACTGAGGTCCTCCATGCATATTTTTAGTTACAGGCTGAGTCATTTTTGTGTTCCCCTCTCTGTCAACGCTCTCTGGTTTCATTTAAAAGAGTCGATCATCAGATATTGTCCAAGATTAACCTTCAGGGTGGATATAGCTCGCTAGCAGCCTCGCACCGAGGACCTATCAACGTCATCATTTACCCAGAATGCTTAGTGTAAAATGGCTCCGTCTGTGTTAAAATGTATTTTTAAAAATTTACAAAACTAAACAGCCTACAGTATTTTTACAGTCTTTATTTTACACTTAAATGTTTTTCAAATAAAGTCGAATGTTACAATTAATCGTGGATCCCTTTAACAAAAACTATCACCTTTCCTTATCTGCTAGTGGTTTGTTGATTTGACTGGTCGATACACGCTTGGTTCCCCTAATCGCCCGCTAACTATTTTCTGAACATGTTGGCCCATTTCCTGATAGCTGTCACAAATATCTTCCCACATTCTTCTTTCATAACTAACAATCATCATCATCATCGATGGTGCTTCAGCAACACGCTCACCAGGCGTAAGGAGATCTGGGTGAATCACTGTTGACAGATAATAAACACGCTCATACAGAGAAGGAACGTGTTTATAAAAATCAGAAAGGACGCCCTGAGACTGTTTTCACTCGTGGTTTGTGTTCAGACGTGGCTGAGTGGCACGCGCCGACAGCAGGGATGTTCCTGTGGATGAAGCTGAGGGGCGTAGCCGACACCCAGCAGCTCATTATGGAGAAAGCTTTGGAGAAAGAGGTTAACACACACACACAATAACACACTGTTGTCTTATTAAAACCTCCATATAGGGTTAAACTCAGACCTGCCTGCTGCACTTTATTAAGCTGATTACAGTATCTTAGAGGTACCTCTGTGTGTAGATGTGTTGTGTGAGGCCAGAGGAAGGGTTCATCACTCAGCAGAGCGTAGGATGGTGCACGTGAAGCAGCCAGTGTTCTCTCTCTCTCACACACACACACACGCACACACACACGCACACACACACACACAAGTGGGTGCAGTCAGGCATTTCCAAGGTCTCTGCACAGAGAACTTGTTTCATGAGCGTCTAAAGCCTTCAAACTGCAAGTATTAAATACTGCTTCTGGAAAAGTCGAGACGTATAAATGGAAGGTCAATCTCATAAATCTATATTTTACAACATATGAAATGTTTAAAACAAGAAATTGTGCTGTTCTTAGAACAAAAAAGGTAATTTTTAACTTACTGTTCAGGGCGTAACAATGCGTTTGTGTACGTTAAAGGTGTTGTTGGTTCCCGGAGGCGTCTTCATGATCAACAGCAGCGAGCCGTGTTCGTACGTCAGAGCGGCCTTTTCTCAGTCCACACCGGAGCAGATCGATGAGGTATGCTCACAAATACTCCGCCAAAACAAACAAACAAACAAACATTTACAAAGAAATCTGACTGCAGTTTGTTGTTCTGTCTGCAGGCCTTCAGAAGACTCTCTCTGCTCATCAAAGAAGCCGTGTGACCAAAGTTTTACCTTAACTCTTTATGACATGACACTACATTTTAGCCAAAGATGAACAAAGAGAACACATTTTAATAACAGTTATTTGAATGTACGAGTAATTTTTAGGAAGTATAGCAAAAGCATACGAACAAAAATCATTGTTTTTCTGTTACAGCTCAGCCTTTTTACACATCTTTATCTCACAAATGTGCAAAAAGAGTAAAGTCAAACTTCTAAAGCATTTAGTCTTTTGTTAAGGTTAATCTGGGAATGTGGTACTTTTACCCAGAAAAACTGAACAGCAGTCAGATGTTTACAGGTCTGGTGGATGGATTCAAACATTCAAAAGTGTACCATTAAAGACAAAAAATAATCTATCTGCTGTACGGTGTAATGAAAACACTCAGCCATAGAGCTTGATTGTTTCCCATTTTTRTMTTGAAAACCATATTTGTGTAGAAAATGTGGGAAACGTATTGGCAAAGCCACATTGCATTTAATGTGATCTCTTTCAGCACACTCCCAGCTCTTCCCTGGCAGCTCGCTGTGATCAGCCTCTTGTTGCCAGGCTCAGGCACGTTATCTGAACGGCCTGAAGCAATCTCAACTAATTCTGCAGGCAGGGCTGGTTTTCTTTCCATAGGACTGCGCTAAACTCTGGTGAGGGAGCAGGTAAGAGGAGCGGAATGACACAAAACAAAAAGGAAACACTGTGCAGAGTATTTATTCAGCACAGYTTGATGGAGACTAGAGCTGCAAACAAACAGTTTCTATCCAGCTGTGTGGAGTTTACTCACACACTTCAAACAGTGAGACTAATAAAATATATTAGAGCACAAGCCAGTTGAAAATGTTGAAGTTGTTAGTGTGCAGGGTGGAGAGGACCCACAAAAAAATGGAACATGTCCGTTTACAAAACAAGTATCTAAACTACTATTCAACTGGTGGTCGGTGGGACACTTCTGACCCATGGGTGGCTTCAATTTGGCTCACTGATAAGTTCAATAAAAATAGTTTTTTTTTTGTAAGACTTGAATGACAAATATTTCAGTCAGAGTGGCAATCCTGTTGTATAGATGATCTATGGCAGGGCTATACGACTCAATCTGCCTGCCTCATCTCATTGCTACAACTGAGCATTGCTAACAAACAATAACTGAGCTCTTCATGGTATATCCTGCATAGAAACAGCGTTTTTAATGTCCTTATAAAAACTGAAGAGTACTACATGTACAACTGACTACATGTTAAAAACACAACACAAAAATAAAAGTACAAGTAAGAGTGTTTTACTCACTGTTGAGTTGTGGTGAGTAGCTGCTGTCTTAAATTCTGAAGTCCCACTTTACAACTGGGAATTCCCACCGGAGGAGGTGTTCCAGTTTAAATTCACATCTTGTAAGTGGGAAATTCCCACTTWCCAGRACAACTGGGCYTCAGCAAGTGTTGTCAAAAACGCCAGCTACTTTTGAAATCCGTGCACCTTTACCCAGTGGTGARATGTCGTCATTTTGTGGGTAAAATMATCAGCATGCATTATGGGAGATGTAGTTCATCATCAATGCTGTCTTTGAAGCAGCAKACACCTAATTTAAGACATTAAWACATCTGTGAAGCTCTCGGGGTGCTACGTTTGGCCCTGTGGGCCTTGAGTTTAACTTGTGATTTAATTGCTTGATGTCTGACCTCTTTGGTTCCTTGAGCATTTTAGTTGAACAGCCCTCATCTAAACTGTAGTTCACAATCCAGATCAATCACTTTGGTCCTTTTGCTCATTAATCTGGTCAGAAATAAACTCCGTTCTCTAAACTGAGGCTGTTTTAAAGCGATCTCTACAACAGGTGAGATATTATAAATACAATTTCTAAGTCCCTCTTCAAAAGTTTCATTGAGTTTATGGTTGTGTAATGTTATAATGTTTAACCCAAACTAACTCAAAACAGAGCTAATCCTTCAGCCATTAGATCACTCTGCCTTCCTCAAAACGGTTAGAAAAAAAGTCACCAAATGAAACATGAAGTCTTCAGCGGCTCGTTTTTTCATCTATATTTAAAAGCCAATGATCACATAACAGTCTGTGCTGAGAACAGGTCCATCTGTTGCGTCTCMTTTGTACAGACTTTCTCCCTGCTGGGCTGAGATGGAGGTCTTTGTGTTTCAAGTGTTTGTGTACGGCTCCGAGGCTCATCTGTGAAGGAGAGCGAGGTCAGGGAGGTGGAGCGGCGGCGAGGTCGTTACAAAACTAACAGCTCTGGGGAGGAACRCAGCAAATCCTCATTTAAAACACTGGAATAGAGGGATGCTTCCTTTATGTAGTCTGATGAAGCATAAACACTTGATCTCACTTTTTAAACTAAAAAAAATATTTTTAAGACCATATAATTGTTATGTAAAGGGGAAAGAACAGATTCATTTGTCACCTGGTATTAAAACACACCCTTTTTATAAATGAAGCGTTATTTACTTAGTATACTTGAGTGTCTGCTCAGAACTCGGTGCACTGATTATCCAGTCGCAGCCTGTATGACCATGAGTCAGGCTGTTTTACAGGAGCTTTGGTTTTCTCTCTGTTTTCTTCCTGGAAGAAGAAACCAAACGGGCACTGGACTGGAGAGTGCAGCAGCCAGCTTTTTAGACTGAAGGCTTTTAACCACGATCCATTTATGCATTACTTTGTGTTAGTGCAGCCCAAGTACCGCACCACAAGATTAAATGGGCTTTGATGAGCAGTGTTTTTCAGTGAAAGGCTCAAGGCCAGCCTGAGCAAATATGCAAGAGAAGTATGGCGGTGAAACATAAACGTGTGCTATGTAAGGTCAAARCAATGTTTACAGTTCAACTCGTCTGTAAGTCTTTCCGTCCTGAATCTGTTTGGCACGTGGGAAGGCTGGTCCTGTTCTGGTTCTTAGGGACCACTGTCCTGCATGTTTTACAGGTTTCTTTGCTCCAACACACCTGGTTTGAATAAATGAGTACAGGCTTCTGCAGAACTTAATAGCAAAAAGATAATTTAATCATTAAATCAGGTGTGTTGGATAGGGAAGCAAGTAAAACGTGCAGGATATCCACCCTTTGAGGACCAGGATTGGACACCCCCTGTTCTCATGTTTAGCTACTAGAGATGGGAGTTATGGCTTTKGGAAAGGAGCCAGGTCTTGCAGACTTGTTCTTTTCAAAGTGCTGTTCAATTTGAATTATTAGAGATGTCATGTAGACCATATGTAGTGACGTACGACGAATGGGCTGCACCACGTAACATGTCAATCACCCTCACATCCACCTCGGAGCACCAACGACTTCCAACTGTCTTTAGACACGTTTGYTATTATTAATTTAAAGAGCTGTTTACAAGATTAAAATTGTTAACGTTACATTGCTAATAAACCATTTCATAGTTACAAATGA